AAATATTCATGGACCTGATGAATTGTGTGTGTTGACCTTACTTACACCAGTTCATTATAGTTTTCATCGACGATATACTAGTCTATTCCCGAAGTAAAGAAGAACACAATCAACATTTACAACAAGTCTTGTGAAACCTTAAGAGCAGAGAAATTGTATGCAAAGTTCTAAAAGTGTGAATTTTGGATTCGAAATGTGTAATTCCTAGGTCATGTAGTTAGCAAGGAAGGGATACATGTTTATCCCACCAAGATCAAAGCTATCGAAAACTGGGCGACCCCACGAACCTCAACAGAGATTCGTCAATTTCTAGGTCTACACAGATCAAGGAGGCTCAGCCAGAAGCCTTGAAACCCAAAAACATGACAGGTGAAGCCCTAAGAGGAATAGAAAAGAACTTGGAAATCAAGGTTGAAAGAGTTTGTTATCTCATGAATCAAATTTGCACACCGAAGTTTAGTGGTTACAAAGACGTTGTCATGAATGAAGCCCATAAAACTCGATACTCTGTTCATCCAGGTTCAGAATATATGTATTTAGACCTCAAGAAACACTATTGGTGGCCAAACATGAAAGCTAAGATTGCTACCTATGTGGGCAAGTGTCTGACTTGAGCTAAAGTCAAGGTAGAATATCAAAAGTCCTCAGGTTTACTACAACAACCAGAAATACCTGAGTGGAAGTCGGAGAGGATTACAATGGATTTCATATCCAAGTTACCCAGGAAAATGGGTGGTCATGACACCATTTGGGTAATCCTCAACAGATTAACCAAATCCACACACTTCCTGTTAATAATAGAAACTGATAAAATGGTGAAGTTAACAAGAACGTACATTAAAGAGATAGTACGGTTGCATGGTGTACTAATATCTATTATCTCTGACCGGGATAGTAGATTTACCTCACGGTTTTGGCAATCACTACAAAATTCCTTAGGAACCAATCTTGAGATGAGTACAGCGTACCACCCTCAGATGGATGGGCAAAGCGAGAGAACCATACCAACTCTGTAAGACATGTTAAGGGCTTGTGTGATAGATTTTGGTAAAGCTTAGGATACCTATTTACCATTACTTGAATTCTCCTACAACAATAGCTATCACACTAGCATCAAAGTTTCACCTTTCGAAGCTTTCTATGGCAGTAAATGCAGATCTCCTATGTGTTGGGTTGAAGTGGGGGATATGCAACTAGCTAAGAGCCAAATACTCGACAGTAAACTAATCGGTCCCGAAATCATTCGAGAAACCACATAAAATATTATCCAAATCCGGGAATGATTGAAAGCCTCTTGAGACCGACAGAAGAGTTATGCGGACAAACAATGAAAACCCTTGGAATTCCAGGTTGGTGACCGCGTCTTATTAAAGATCTCACCCTGGAAAGGAATGATACATTTCAAAAAACATGGTAAACTAAATCCGAGGTACATCGGACCATTCGAGATTCTTGCTACAAGTGGTCCAGTTGCTTATAAACTCAAACTACCGCATGAACTTAGTAACATTCATCCTATTTTTCACGTCTCTAATCTCAAGAAGTGTCTGTCTAATGAAATGCTTGTAATCCCACTCGACAAAATCAAGTTAAATGAGAGTCTACACTTCGTAGAAGAACCAATGGAGATCATGGATAGGGAAGTCAAAAGAACAAAACAAATCCGTATACCAATAGTGAAGGTTCGCTAGAATGTCAAGCAGGGACCTGAATTCAATTGGAAACGGAAAGATCAAATGAAACAAAAGTATCCACATCTTTTTCCTAGTTCATGAGTACCATTTTAGAAACAATTTCGGAACGAAATTCCCTCTAATAGGGGGATAATGTAACAACCCATTGTTTCAGATCAATGTAAGCCTAAGCTACAATAGTATGCAAGTGATTTAACATCATAACATTTATACACTAAGAATTTTGTGTGCCTGGAGTGCTTGTTCACTTAATTTATATGTAAGTATATGGGGAAAACCATGTTGAAGTAGGCTAGTATATGCTAGGTATTTAAATTAAAATCACACTAATTCAAATAAGGGTTTTTACATAACATAATTTATAATTATTTCTTACTTAAATGTAGTTTACGGCCAAGAGAAGTTAATTCTAAAACAACACTGTGAACATCCTCTTCTAGAAACCCTTGGACCAAAATCAAACTATTCTAGAAGACCTATGGCCGTGAAATCTTTCCCATGTGACTTATTGGCCGTGAACCCTCTTATGGAACAAAGATCAAACCGTGAACCCCATTTAGAATAAAGCACAAACCGCAAACACTTCCTTTAAGGAAGTGTATGACCGTAAACAACATATTGTGAATATATTGGTGTGATTTCCTTTCATTTTGGCCGTGAATACTTGCATATTGACCGTGAACACATCAAATATCCTCATAATCTTATCTAAAGTTAACTTCCCAATGTGATTACACTGTAAACCTCTCATTCACTGCCTCATGAGTTTACTTCATATTTAAGATGCAAATGAATTCATCTGACACTCACAGTAAACTCATTTCACTCATATGCTCTCAAAACATATATCAAAGTTCTTCGCATCTGCACACAGTTACCCACAAAACCTCCAAACTTTCATAAGAACTTCTTCACAATTTGTAAGTAATGTATACAATCTAGTGTGTATTATCATGTTAAATTATTAGTTAACTAATTTATGGATATAATTATGTGTAAAATAAAATTAGGATATGGTTAATCGCACTTATTTTATACCGGGGATCATCACAACCACATCGAATCTAACCAGAAATACGTACACGAGGTGAGTTCATACCCCTACGTTTTCATGATTTTCACTGTTTTAGGGGGGAATACAAGTGTAACACAAGAAATTCGTGTTAATCTATAAATGTTTTCAATATTTATTAATTGATGTTGTTAATATCTATATATATATATATATATATATTATAATTAGGACTTAACATGCTTAGAATTGATAATTTGACTCCATTTCCTGTTCCTTGTTTGGTTGTGGCTTTGGGGTAGAATTATTTATTCGACTGTCTGTGTAATCAAAATTATATAATATTAAATTTATATAAGTATAAATTCATTTCTAAACCAATTAAACAAAAATATAATTTTTGCAAACTATTTTAATACCATTTGGGAATAAATACTGAATTACACTGGATAACCGTATCACAGATTTTCAATTTAAACTTACAGAATTATTTACAATACAAAAGTTTTCATTTTAGTAAAACACAAACATATAAACTATAATGGGTATAGTTTATGGAACTTACATATTACTTTTCAAAGATGAGATTTCAGTAAGGAAAATGAACATACAAATTATAAGAGATACAATTTGTGGATCATGTATACTACTTTACATATTCAAGATAACTTACGGATAACAGACCTATAAACTATATTCAATATAGTTTATGAGAAAAGCTGATAGTTTATCTATTACAAAGTAACTTTTCATTATTCTAATTGTAACCATCAATATAGCATTTATGAGACACACTTCAAGTACTTATCTAAGTACCAACCAAGTCCTGAAATTATAACCAGAGTGTCCTAGAGGTAGAGCGTGACACTAGTGTATAAATCTATACGGGACTGACAATTCTGCACCAAAGCTGCTTGCAATAGCTAGGTCGGTAGGCCTGTGGTGTATAGATCTATACGGGACTGATAGTCGCGCACCAAAGTTGCTTGCAATAGCTAGGTTGGCAGGCCTATGGTGATAAATGTCATACCGATAGCAACGCCTAAAGAACGTCGTGTTCGGGCCATCCTAGGTCATCAATCATGGTTATGATAACTCACAATTTAGTATTGAACTATACAATTAGTGTATGAATAAGTAAAAAACTTCACATAGTTTTATTAAATAATAAAACTATAATACAATATTTTACAAGTACAACTGGTAAATCCAGATAGTTACAATTATACTATGTTCATACAAGTACAAACACGGAATACTATTCTAGTGTACAGAAAACATACTTTTCATGGTTTTATGTGAATTAAAACTACATTATACCATTTCAGAGTACACTAACAATTACATATTTTGAGTACAACACATTATAACAAAAAATATAGGATTTTCTAGGAAAATACACTTACATTTTAAAGGAACAAACAACAGATTTCAATTACAAACATGCTTATGAACTCACCAAGTTAATTGTTTACACCTTTTCAAAACTAATTTTATTCTCAAGAAATCAGTAGACAGGTACATCCACGGATTTTTGAGAAGACGGAGCTTCATTGACTCATGTCTTTTAACTTGTTGGTGTCATGTATACAATGACTTGAACACATATGTAAAACTTATACTTTTTCAATACATGTTTGTTGTACTTTCATTACTATTATGCAGTTGTGATACTATACATGACATCATCCGTCCCTGAACGTTTCTGCCATTCCGGTTTGGGGGTGTGACAGTTTATCAACATTCCAAAAAGATATTGATGGCCTGCCTCGTATAATCTTTACTGAATCACATTGTACACTTTCTACATATAGCAACTACAACAGATATACACAATATTTAAGTAAGTAAACACAATTTAATGAATCTGTACACCTATTCATTTATTGTGAATCATTTAAGATAATGCATAAGAAAAATGAATATGTTTATAAAAGCATGTGCATCATATACTAAATATTACCAAAAGAAAGATAATTGGCCCAACATAGAATCCTTTTCTACTATATGGATTCCATGCACTTCTTGTATCCTTAAGGATATCAAAAAATATATACACACCAATCGATGTCACTTAGATCTAGGTCTCTTGTAACCTTTGATAACATGGAAAGGTCACATGTTACCATGCTCATTGAGTAACCTAGTGTATTACACACCATAATAAAGATGTTTACTTTAAAAAGTAAGTCCACATGTGTTATTTGTATAATAGCATGCTAAACTGCCCTTGGTCTAATATTATATTCACCATCGAATCGTTTCTTCCAAACAATGATCGTGTCATCTATAAACTATCTACATTCCATCAAATTTATAGCAACATTCCCTAAATGTTGACCCAACAATTCGTGGATTACCTCCCGATTTATCGGTATATCACCAAGAGGAAGCCTAAGTACCATTTTATCTGCATCAAAATTCCTTACCATATAATGCCCAATAATTGATGCACACCCATCCACTTTCATATTTAACATATGCCCCAGATCAATAGAAGAATGATATGATTCATTGGCCTCGCTAAGGTTATGCATACAACTGTACAACACATTTGGTAATGTCCGTACTTGTATACACCTTGGTTCTTCTGCATTAGTATATAAAACTTTAGGCACTTTTCTTGCTTTCCCTACATTTCTTTCGTTATTCTTTTGCCTCTTTTGTACAACTTCTTTTTTACTTACTTTCTTCACACATTTTTCATCTTCATCGTCATCTTTGAAAAGTACCAAGCATCCTCTTTTTCCTAATAACCATAGGTTGAGCATCTTTAAAATACGAGTACTTGTCGGCATCAAACTTCTTAACCTTCACTTTAATTTTCATATTATATTCTTCTGTTAATACATATGAAACAATATAAATGATTATAATGAAATACTGAACTAAACTTTAATAAATTAAATTTGAACTAATCATGACTTGAATCGGAGTTCAAAACAACAACTTCAAGCCCATTTGTTTTACAATTGTCAATATGTTTTTTGGTTCTCAATTCATTTTCCCTATGTATTTCCTTTTCTGGTGTCCAATGTACACTTTCATTCCAACCTGTTAATATATAAGTAATATGATCATTAAACAATATAACTGAAATACAATTTTGATGATATATTCATAATTCGTATATGCAAGGTAACATTGAATACAAGAATAAATATAGATTTTTTTATTAGTAATCATCATTATTACCTGCTTGTTTCTTTATTTTTTTTCTTAGTTGTTGAATCTTTCTTTTACATTTGTCTTTTAATTAGAGGTTGTTATGTTTCGTCTCCATGATGGTCTTCAACTTTCATATCAATAAGCATGGAATTTGATTCTGCATTAATGAATTTGCTAAATGTCATCTTTAGTAATATCCTCTCGCTTTTCTTTCTACTAAACAACAACAAAATAACATTTTCATTGATTAATCACAAATGTATGTAAGAATCAAAACTTAATAAAACAATATATCTAAGTTAGTTAAACCTAACTAACAATCATAACTTAATACACAATAAATAAATAATTGTATAACAAAACATACTATAATCAATCATAAATACATATATGTCCTTTCATACTTATACACAATTAATCATAATTGAGTTTATCAATCATACATGATCATAACTACATTGTTTGTTCACATGTTTAATCAACATTAACCATACTGGCTTATTCATCATTGATTGTAGCAATCATAGATGAAATATTAAAAAAACTATATTCACATACATTTAAACAAACACGACAATGAATGATTGTTAAATTATATAGACCTACACCTAATACCAAAATACAAAATTACAGTAAATAGAAAGAAGCTATGATTATCAAGTTCGAATAGACAATCACAAACTAAAAGGCCATATTGACTTGGTGCACAACAAATAAATACAAAAACCATAATTTTTGAGTTTTCATGAACATAAAATCCCCATAAAACCCTTTCTTTGGGAACCATTTAATATTTCATTTACATTCATAAACAATTTTCCAAATTTATACTTCCTAACAGAGGCTAGAACAAAAAAAAAAAAAAAAAAAAAAAAAAAAAAAAAAAAAAAAACCTAATTTTAGGGTTTTCACAATTGTGGTAAAATTAAAGAAAAAGAACTTAAAAAACTATCAATGTACTACTTTTACACTTAAACCCCATTCAAAATCCTAACAACCTTACTTCTTTATGTCTTGTTCATCAACGGCGACATTCTATCATATTCCATCCTTGACAGCATCCACAATCGACAATAGTACTTACGAAAGAACAAGATCAATCGACAATCGTATAAATGGTGATTGTTGAGATTTTTTTTGCATTGCACATGAAGATATGATCGAATCGTCCCAAAGATACGAGCTTAGATGTGCTTCCTAACAAATGGAAATGGTTTCCTTTATGTATATCAATTACCCAATATATTAAAAAAGAATGAAATCCTAAAATACTTGAATACCTTTTTCATGTTTTTTTATTTAAAATTAATTAAAAACTATTTATTATTATTTAAAATACCTTGTTAATAATATCCAAAGATTTTGAATATTTAATGTACCAGATGTGTTCTTGCGTCCTCAATCATAAAGTGTTCTCATTTGATCTTTTATATATATATATATATATATATATATATATATATATATATATATATATATATATATATATATATGATTGATTGTGAGCTAATATTTTCACTTATTTCAAGAAAATGAATAATCATATTATTAAATTATCGATAATTAAAAAATACCATCTAATTTCATTTTAATGATATTTTAGTAAATTAACATAAATTTAAAAAGAAAAATTGCAGATTTTAAGGAATAATTAATTAACTTTAAAAATCTGATTTTTTGGATAATAAATATATTAATTCAAACATTCTAAAAAAGTGTGTCTATGATTATCTTGAAAAAATATATTAAATGCTGACAGAATACTATAAACATATATTATAAAGATTAATAATTTTTAATGAATACAAATTTTATATGAAAAGAATTTTAATATCTTAAAATAAATTATTACATTAATTCTTAACAAATACAACTATGAACATACATACACGATATTAATTCTGAAAGAATATTCATAATAATGGTTAACAATTATATTTATTCTGAAAGAATAAAACTGAAAATGATTAAAAATCAAATAAAAACATGGAAATCTATGTAAAACACTAATACATTCTGATAGAATATTGTTGCTAATAATTCTAACAGATAAAAATGTTAATCCAATCTGAACGAATATTGTTGTTTTATTTTCCATTCTTCACCAAGCTTCAAACCAAGTTTCCATTCTTCACGAAGCTTCTTTTTCTTTACTTGATATTATTTCTTTAAGAATTTATAGCTTCATAAGAATTTATAGTCAAAATACGATATTGTTGTTTTCATAATTATATAAAGCTGAAATTGGTCGATTGTTAGTATCTTAAAGTTAATGCATATAGACAAGTTATAGAAGTTTCTATTAGAGAATAATAAAAGGACATCATGGTAAGCCTGGCCTCTTATTTTGATTTAGATAAAACCTACATTTAAGAAACTCATCTTAGGGACAAAATCAATGACCAAGTTTGTGATCTATTGACCGATATGATTAAAGTTTTGTTATAATATTCAAAATCATAATTTTTTACTAGAGAACCTTTGTCAATCAACAATCACCCAATCATAATTTTTTACTAGAGAACCTTTGTCAATCAACAATCACCCAAATGTTATTTACCAGAATGTTTCTCAAAAGCAGCAAGTGTCAACTTATGTGTGAACATAAACAACAATAGTATTATTGTTTAAAGTATGAAATCTTAATATTTTGCATATTACAGCCAAATAATATATGGAATCTTTGTGGCTTCAAATTTCAAACCATAAATAGACTAAGTAAAAATGTGTGTTTACTATGAAAGTTATATAATGAAGGGTTCTATTTTAATATAAAAAAATTGAATTTCTAAAGGAAAAATATGGAAAATAAATAAAACTAGAGAGAGAGAGATAGAGAGAGAGAGAGGTGCGGCAAAAATCCAAAATGTGTCACTCTTGGCTTAACCTTGACCACAATACGAACTGTGTGGTGGGGGTGTTGTAGACTGCGGCTTACGTGGCAAACTGTGGATGCTAGGGCACCCACGATCTCAAATCTAAGTCTCCTAGCGGCTCCTATAAAACTTTGATATTATTCTTGCCGTATTGTCCTTCATGGTGCTCTTCCAATGATCATGGTGTGGTTATGAAGAATGGAGCTTAATTAATTCTTCTACTAATGTGTATGTTAATAGGTTTGTGTGCAGGGCCGGTCCATTGTTTTTTACTACCCGGGGCGAGATAAAAAAATTATGCCCTTATATGTGTAACGTACAATAACAAAAACGTATAATCAAACAAATGTAGTAATTTCTAATATAAAAAATGCAGTAATTTTTATAATCAAACAAATAACACAACCAAAATATACAAAAAATCACCTAAAACGATGTCTTCGCGCATTTTTTGAAGCGAAAACATCTCTTATTTTACAATAATCAATATTTTTAGAAAATCACTTTCAATACTTAAAATTGCTAATCCGTTCAATCTTTCTTGAGTCATGGTACTTCGGAGATACGATTTCAAAAGCTTCAATTTTGAAAAACTTCTTTCCGCGGAAGCAACCGTAACCGGCACCGTCAATAATATCTTATATGCAACCAACACATTAGGGAACATATCCATTCTTCTTGCATACTCCATTATTTGAATAGATGTCCAAGGACTTCGACTTTTGTATGCTTCATCCGGCAACATTTTCTGCAAAAGTTTTAACTCAATGAATAAACCATCTCCATCAATATCATAATCTTCACCATTTTTCAAATTGGACTCAAGATTTAAACAACATTTCTTTAATTCATCATCAACTAAAGAAACTAATTTGGAACCATCAAACAAAAAACCAAATATTTGATTCAAAATATTGCATTTGTTCAAATCTAGTTTTCAATTGAACAAGAGTCATATCAATAAGAATAAAAAAAATAATCTCTTTTAAATGCTTCTTGAGAAGATTGGTGTTCTCTTTCGGTATTTGGAATTTCATCAAAATGTTGTTTTCTTTTTTTATTGCGTTTTTGAGGAAATTCGGGTTTAACTTTAACACTATTTGCTATTTCTTTTGCTTCACTAATAGCAAAGTCAAACCCACTTTCCCTATATTCTTCAAAATAATTAATTAACCCTTCTAAATTTTTTACAGCAACATCAAGAAGCATTTCTTTGGATTGTAACTTTTTGCTTACCAAATTAATTTTGTACAAAATATCATACCATATAACTAAACTTAAAATAAATTCAAAACTAGAAAATTCACCATTTACTAGTGAATCAGCATCTCTACACACTTGTCCATTATCACTTATTATAGATAGTTTTTTTAAAGCTTTTCTTATTTGATAAAATTGTGTTTTTATTGCTTTAACACATTCAATATGACTTTCCCAACGAGTAGCTGATAATGATTTAAGTGTTAGATCATCAACAAACTCAAGTAAAACACTCCATCTTTTGGTTGAATTGGAAAAAACATTATAAAGCGTTTGACATGTACCAAAAAAAGTTTTTGCCTTTTGGCAAGAATTTGCCATATCACACAAAACCAAATTTAAACTATGACATCCACAAGGCATATAAAAAGCTCTATTATTTATATCAAGCAATCGTTTTTGAACACCTTGGTGTTTACCTTTCATATTTGCCCCATTATCATACCCTTGACCACGAACATAATTAA